GTGTACAATATAGTGATTCAGAATTTTTTAAAGTGATATTCCATTTATAGTCATTGTAAAATATCTCCTAAATTTCTGTGTTGTACACACTCTATGGGTTTAAATCCTGATTGTACTTCTTGGGCAAGCAACCTGGTGTCCATGAAGCTCAGTTTTCCCATCTAAGAAAGTAGACTATACTTCTTATAGGGTTGTTAGGGTTAATTAAATGGGTTAATATACATAAAATGCTAGAACATTGCTTGTATTTAATAGCATAGTAAGCACTGTACAAATGTTAACTATAGTAATTATTATTTCTCACCCAAGAACCTTGTGAGGCCTTAACCATTCCTTCAGGTCCACTGTTGCTAACTGGGGAGGAAAGGCAATTTGTTTCTTAGCAGAAATACTAGAAGGACCTTGTCCCACCCTGCCACCCACCTCTGAGGCCTAAACCCTTGTGCTGCCCTTAACCCTTTCTCTTTTTTTTTTTTCTCCAGGTCCCGATCCCCCTCACCCCAGTACTGTGAGACTTGTGATGCCCACTTTCAAGACTCTAACCACTATACATCCACTGCTCATCTCCTGTCGCTGTCCCGGGATCTCCGGCCCCCCATCCTGCCACTTGGGGTTCCTACCTCCAGCCCAGGCTTCAAGCTGCTGCTGAGGGGGGGCTGGGAGCCTGGAATGGGGCTAGGACCCCGGGGTGAGGGCCGTGCCAACCCTATCCCCACTGTCCTCAAGAGGGACCAGGAGGGGTTAGGCTACAGATCAGCACCTCAGCCCCGAGTTACACATTTCCCAGCTCGGGATACACGGGCAGTGGCTGGGAGGGAGAGAGCCCCTAGGGTGACCACACTGAACCGCAAGGAGGAGAGAAGGCAGGAAGAGAAGGACAAGGCCTGGGAGCGGGATCTGCGGACATACATGAACCTCGAGTTCTGACTTGGGCGAGTTCTGACCCTGGTGTGTTGCTGAAGTCTGAACTTGGACTCCAAACCTAGCCACTTGGGCTTCTACTTCCTGATGTCTTCCCAGGTTCCACACCTTCTGGTTTTGATCAGTGGACTCTGCCTTCAGTAGAAAAGCCAAAAGTTGAGAAATAAATCAAGCTTTTCTCCCTCTTGGTGTTTCATTCACTTTTCTGGAAGCTGTTGCAGGGAAGCCAAACGAGGCTGTGGACCACATGAAATCCTACCAGAGCCAGAAGAGGCAGCTCCTCTACATGCCCTGATGAGGTTGCCCTTCTGCCAGTCTGGTTCACTTCTAGTCCCAGCCACTGTCCTTAGTACCCCACCTATTTTTTCAACCCCTGAACCAGGATTACCCATCTCTATGCAAGTCTATGCAGGGCTTCCCTGATGGCGCAGATGGTAAAGAGTCTGTCAGCAATTCAGGAGACCCAGGTTTGATCCTTGGGTTGGAAGATCCTCTCAAGAAGGAAATGGCAACCCAATCCAGTGTTCTTGCCTGGAGAACCCCATGGACAGACAAGCCTGGTGGGCTGCGTTCATGGGGTCGCAAAAAGTGAGGCATGACTGAGCGACTTAACACTTTTATGCGAGTCTGACCTTCCCCAGAAAGTACCCTCTGTCCACTCTAGCCAATTCAATCACTGATTTCACAAGTTTGTATACTATGTGCTATGAATGGGAATGAGACATGCCCAATCTTCAGGTTGCTCACACCTGTAGGAGACAAGATGTGATAAAAAGAATATATGGTGATAGGGGAAGTCAAGAAAGGCTCAGAAATGATAATGGGTGGGGTCTTGCAGGAAGAGGGCAATGTGATAGGAGGACCAAAGATGATGCAGCCTGTAGGCTGTTAGCTGAGCTGGAACCAGAACTCTGGCCTCCCAGTAAGCCAAGGTTCTTCATTTTGATACCTGAAAACTAAGGGCAGGAAGCACATCCTGTTTGTCTACACTGTGTCTTTCCCACACTTCCTGTCCTGTTCCTCCTGCTCATACCAGGTGCCAGGCACATGAAGTGCCCACTGTTGTCAAATCCAAGAGGTAAAAATCTGTGCATGGAGGAGCAAGGAAGGGCTACTCAAGTCCCAAGCCTCCTCTCAGCTTTCTCTTCTGGAAAAGCCTTTCATTAAATCGTGAACTAGAAGAGAAGTGGAGCGGGATGCAGGGAAGAACTCAAGGGGACTAAAGGGGGCGGGCGAGCTTAAGGGGATACTGGCGGTAGGGGGTCTCTAGGCGACGAAAATGCAAAGCTGGGTTTATATTCACGCTTTCGGCTCCTGTGACCTCGGCTGTGCGCCCCGCGGTATGGCCGGGTGCGCACTGATGGCGCGCACTGGCAGCTCGGGCCGGGGGCGGGGGTTGGGGGGCGGTCGATCGACAGGGTCCGCCCCGCAAGCTGCGGGCTCCGCCTCCGCCTGTCCTCTAGTCCCGGTGCGGCTGCTTCCGGGCTCTGCGGCTCCGGGCGGCTTCGCGAGGCCGAGGCCTCGACGCTGGGCTCGGGAGGGGCTGCATCGCCTGGACGCCTGGACGCCTGGACGCCAGGCTCCACAGGCAGGCGCGCGCTTTGCCTCGCTCCCGGAATCTCCCAGGACATCTCCGGCCTGACCTTGCGAAGACTGAATCTCAGCTGCGGGCTGGGGTGCCAGTGGGGCCACTTTATGGGATTCACAGCCCTCTGAATCAAAGCACGAACGTTGCTGGCTGGAGTTTGCCGGATACCTCACCCCACACTCACTTAACAGGAGACTTCTTTCTGAGCTGCCTTAGGGCAGCAGTTAGGACTCTCCTGGTCGGTCGGGAGCACCTAGGATCCGAGGCCACCTTCCTTCCTTCCTTTTTGGATGGAGAACCGCCTCCCCAGTTTCTGGGGCACCTTGGGGCGTGGCCTTGGTGAGTGAAACTTGGGGTGCTGCCTGCTGGGAAAGAAACTTGGAAAACAGGGAGGACACTGTGACAGTGTCTCAGGCTTTGTCAGATCCGTAGACTTTTGGAATCTTGTGTGTGTGTAGCGGGGTTGGTGGTGAATGGATTTGAATGTGCCTCTCTTTACCTTAAAACTGAAACGGAAACAAGCCGCTGCCTGCCACACTTCAGGCTGCATGACCATCCTGGAAAGAGGAGAGCCACTCCTGAGTTCAGAGGAGGACTCTCCAAGCAGATACCTGTTCTTCTGAGCCTGAACACACTCTGGTTTCTGAGGAAATCCTGTCCCCCCCACCCAAGAGCCTAAGCCGTACCAGGAAGCAGCCCCAGAATTGGGCTCATTGTGCACCCCAGCCATGTTCCTCCGACGCCTTGGTGGCTGGCTCCCTCGCCCCTGGGGCCGCCGGAAGTCGACAAGGCCTGACCTGCCCACCCCAGAACCCAGACGGATGGACAGCTCCTCTGAGAATTCAGGGAGTGACTGGGACAGTGCCCCAGAGACCATGGGAGATCTGGGGTCTCCCAAGACCCAGGACTCAGGTGCACAGAGGAGCTCTGGGGCAGCTCCAGAACTGAGCAGGGAGGTCCAAGTTGAGCAACTGGGGTACAAAAGAATGGATTCTCTCAAGTGGGGGAAGACTGTCTCCAGCACCCAAGAGCCTGGGAGACCAGAGGCTGGGGAGACCATTCCCAAACTAGGACAGGATCCTGTGGACTCAGGTGGCACCGGGAAACCTGGAGGGTCCCCTGAAGAGGAATTGAGCCCCCCAGTGGCTGAAGCCCCAGTGGAGAAGCCTGGCCGGCGTCAGAAGTTGCTGGGCTGGTTGCGGGGGGATACAGGTGGGGGAGCAGGGGCTCCCCGCCAGTATCTGGGGGACCCAGAGGAGTGTCTGCAGATCTCTACCAACCTGACCCTGCACCTGCTGGAGCTGCTGGCCTCAGCCCTGCTGGGGCTCTGCTCAAGGCCCTTGCGGGCAGCCTTGGATGCCCTGGGCCTGCGTGGACCACTGGGCCTCTGGCTGCATGGACTGCTGTCCTTTCTGGCTGCTCTGCATGGACTCCATGCCGTGCTGAGCCTACTGACCGCTCACCCCCTGCACTTTGCCTGCCTCTTTGGTCTTCTACAGGCCCTGGTGCTGGCTGTCAGCCTCCGGGAGCCCAGTGGGGATGAGGAGGCCACTGACTTGGAGGGTGAGAAGTTGGGGAGGGAGGGGGAGGAGCAGAGGGGAGACCCAGGCAAGGGGCTGTGACCACAGGGTATGGTGTGACCCAGGGTCCTACCTTCAGTAGGGGGGGAGCAAGGATGAAGATAGTGTGGGAGGTATAATCCAAATTGTAAGCACAGGGACCTCAGGGATGGGGCAGAAACCCCAGAGTAGGAGGGCACAGAGCCCCTCTCCACACACAGGAGAGCTGTTTAGGGTGTCTGTGTTTATGGACAGTGGGGGCCTCGCCCTTGAATTCACCAGCTGTTGTTAATTTTTGCTTTTACATTTTTCCCACTTTGTTTTTTTCTTCCACCTACACTTTTTAAAAGCAAAAAAAAAAAAAAAAAAGTCTGGTGGTGAGAATAAACACTGAAGGGTCCTCTCTACCTTTTAAAACTCTCCAGGGGTGGAGAAAACCAGTTAGGACAGACCTCTGGGTGGGGTAAGAGGGTGGTTGGGAGACTCAGGGGATCCCTTGGATCCTGGGATCTGCACCATCTGGGGAAGAACAGCACTCCTAGGTGGGTTTAAGGGGTCTGGATGGGGTTCCCACAGGTGACAGAGAGCCTAAAGGGAGGACCTGAGGATTCCTAGGAGCCAGGGGGAGTGGGGCTGGGTGCAGGCAGTGTTGGCAGGATGGCCATCTCAGAGGGGCTGGCAGCTCACAGGCAGCATGGGGAGCACTGAAGTTTGCAGACCCCACTAGGGGGTTGGGTTTGCTCACTCAGCAATAAATAACTGTGTCACACCTAATCCTAAATATACCACTACAAAGTGAGAGTTACCACCGCTCAAGTGTCCTTCCTGACGCCATCCAATTGGGGGTTGAGGTGGGAGAAGGTCCAGGGGGAGGACTGAAATGAGGGGAGTGGGACTGATGTTGGGAGACAAACCCCCAAATGAGACGAGGATTGGAAAATCATCTTTATTACTTTTGAAAGAGAGTTGGGAGTCTCCAGCTTCTCCCCTCACCATACAAGTTCCTGCTGTATTCATCTGGGGGGCATAGGTGAAGCCACAGGTCAGTTACTGGACAGCTCACAGGCATCTGGTGGGAGGAGAGAGAAAAGAGGATGGACAGGAGGGAGACCCAGGGAGAGAGGCAAGGTTGATGGCAATGGGATGAGGTAGAATGCAGTCTCTCACGCCCCCATGTCAGAGAAGGGGTCTCTGAGATCTTTTTTCCCCTGCAGACCTCTGACCCTCTGCCCCCTGTCTGACCTTCTGCCCCTTTTATCCACTGCAATAGCCCAGAGTCCATCCTGGCTCCCTCTGGTACCATCAGTCTATGACACAAATGGAAGTGTCAACATAGCCAGTGTGATGATGTCAGCCTTTGGCCATGCCCCCTGATGACATCACTCGAGTCCCTTTCATCCAGCTCTCACAGAAGACTTGGTGAGTCCTAGTTGTCTTCCGTAAGACTTTAACCCCTCACCTTGATTCCTGGGGGTCAGTAAGAAGGCCTTAAAGTCCAGGCAGGAGGTCAGGGACTGGAATTCCCCCACACACTTCTCAGGAGGGTGGGGTGAGCGATCTGGAAAGGGAGGGCCAGGCACATCAAAGCCCCTGCTTCTCAGCATGGCCCCTGGTGAGGACCTCAGGGAAGCAGCCAGCCCTTCCTGGGATGATGTCAGGACTCAGAGAAAGGGACTCTATTGCCTCCTCCCAACCCCCATCTCCCCTCCTTCCCTCTTTTCCCCCAGATCTTGCCTGGCCTCCCCACTCACTATAGAGGAGGAAGCGCTGGTAACCCTGGCCTGTCTCTTTCAGCATGATTCCACCTGGGCATGCACTGGAGAAGAGCTTGGTCTTCATGTCAGGGCGGCCTGTCAGGGTTGGGGGGAAAGTGTGAGGACAGAGATGCAGAAGCAAGCAAGCCCAGGGGGCCTAAGGAGAGTGAGGGCTGGAGAAAACCAACCTTCGGTTCTGAGATCTGTGCTCCCGTCAGACAGGTGGTAGATCCATTTCCGGGGCACACAAAGTCCATTTTTCCTGCAGAAGTGGTGGTGGCAAGGAGGAAAAACTTGAGTGACACCTCAACCACTCAGTACCAGCCTCTATTCAATCTTACTCTTTCTGGAAGCCTGGGTCCCCTTGGGTTTCAAGTTATGAAGGGATGGTTAGGTCCATCTCTCTCCGGAGGAAAACTAACAAAGCTACTGAACTCAAGTGGGCCAAGAATAATGGGTATGCCAAAGAACCCAGCTCTTTGTGGGCGGATGCTCACACTTTAGGCAGAGACCACATCTACTGGTGCCTCTGCCTCACCACCACTCACGTGCGGATGGTTGCTCGAAGCTGGAGCTGCATGGGGGCAGAGCCCACAGCCATGTTGAAGACAATGTTGTCCACAGGGTCAAAAGTTGCCAACTCCTCCTTGGTGGGAGCTGCCCCTGCGATAAAATACCACTGGCCCAGGTGGGGCTCTGGGAACTGGAGAGACAACGAAGGGAGAAGGTGGGTCTCACTACAGAATCCAACCTCTTCATCAGTCAGAATGACAATACTTAGGGATGAGGGTGTTGGCTGCCTTTTTCCAGCTAAAGACTGGATCTAAGACAAGGAGTCATTAAATGACTTTTCCTCTTTGCTCCTCTTCAGTAAACCCCACCCTCCAGTTCTACAAGTCTTCATATTGATGGCCATAGTACTTATATATATATATATATATTTTTTTTTTTTTTATATATATATATTTTTTTTTTACTTATTGCTTTCATCATCACAACACTCACACCCTTTCTTCCTTCCAGTGTGGCTTTCTGGTCATGCTGGGCCTCTTACCCTAGTCCATCAGACCCCACCCCCCACCCCCAACTCAGCAGCTTGCCACATGCTCAGTGCATACCTCTTTTCCATCCATTCCTTCAGTTGTCAGTTGATTGTGCTCAGGGCACTGGTAGATGGAGTTAAGGAGAATGCCATAGAGGTAGAGAAGAGCTGCCCAAATGTGGTGGAACATCTTTAGGCAGGAGGGAGCTGGTGCTCTGCGTGGAGTGGCTGGTGCCTTAACTGCTCTCCCCAACTCGCTGCTCAGTATAGTCTGCTTCCAGCCCCCTTGCCTCGACCCTTGACCCTTTCACCCGCTAATGAGTAACTTCACTCTTGTTTTCCAACCCAACCATGGATTACTTACAGTGTTCAGGACTTCCTCCCCCTCTTCAAAATGCAAGCACTCCACAGTACATCCTGGCATGTCCAGGGTCTCCCAGGAGTTAAGACAGCTGAGACCTCCAGGTGATCATTCAAACCCTGTCTGAGCTGGGATATCTGCTATGCTGTGCAGTAAAGAGAGATGGGTTGATTCTACCAGTCACTCACTGAGCAAACTGTTTTTGAGTTCCAGTTGTTTGTCAGGAACTGGTTAAGCCCTGGGAACATAAAAGTAAGCCATAGTCCCTGGCCTTGAAGAAGTCAGTCTAAGGAGAACTAGCTGTGTAAACACATCATTGCAATACCACCTGGTAAGTGCTTTACAACAGGTATGTACCAGGTGCTGAAGTATGTGGATGGGAGGCTTTCTCTCTGAAGCTGTTCATTGGAGAAACTATGTACACCCTCCAGAAAAGCCTGCTGACACACGAGTTCATTCACTTAATTTTTATTACTGCAAGAAGCTACAGACTCTAGTGGTTAAATAGACAGTGGTGTCAAGCAGGGTAGGTCCAAACCCTTATTTTGGACGATTTTATTAATCTTGCCTGTTTTCTAATGTATAAAATGAGCAAATCATCAGTCCCACAGGATTAAAAGAGCTAAAGCATATAAAGCCCTTAGCAAGGGCCTGCACATAAATCCAAAGTAAGTATTCCCTATAATTAATAGTAATGTTTGTAAAGCACTTACTAGTCTCTCGTGGGTACTACGTTCTCAAGTAATAGGAGGTAGGTAAAGAATTGTCAAGAAGCAGTCAGTGGCCAGTGCCAAGAAGATGGGACTTCCTTTATGGATTATTTATAACCCACAGGCTGCCATAAAGATTTGTTCTGAGAGGTGAGGCTTGCTCTGGGCTTGCGATTTAGCTGAAGAATAAAATTTGGGTGATGAATAGCTGAGGGTTCATTATATTTTTATAACAAAAACTAAAATGCAAGCTATTGGGGCAGTAAAATAGAAGTGCTTGACCCAAGGGAGTCTGGTAGGCCTGGATTTGTCAGTTCTGCCACTGACATTCACCATAAAAGGGATGTAATAGATATTGAGACGCTATTAAATGTGAGGCTATTAAACCCTCAGCAAACTGACTGGCGCCAACTAAGGGCTCACTATACAGATGGTTATTAAAACTTTTAGTACCGGGACTTAAGTATAAGCTACACGTCCCAGAAAGGACAGGCACCGAAGACAGGTACACCGGCAGCAACGGGTTTGGCCGGAGGAGCGGCAGTACTGTGGGGCCCAGGCCCTTGGCCGAGGGGCGGGGGGAGAAGAGGGCAGAGGGACGGTAACTCTACCGGACCATCCGCCTGTAGAAGCCCTTAGGCGGCCCTCTCAATCCCCTAGGGTCAGAGTCTTGTATTTCATTCCAGTCTGACCCCATTTGTTTCCAATTCCGAAACTCGGAGTCGTCCTTTTTAAGACAAAAGTCCTGAAAGGTACTAAATCCTTCGCTTCTCCAAAACATGGCGTATCCCCTCGGCGGCACACCGCCGGGGAAGAACATGGCGCCACAAAACGCCCACCGGGCAAAACCGAGGTCAGGCCCAACGACGCCACCGCACGTAAATCTGCTCGAGAACCACCTCCAACCGCCTATGGAAAGGGTGACTTCCGGAGGCGCCGAAGGAGTGGCTCAGCGAGGACGATGAAGAGAAGACAGAATTCTAGGTGGCCTGGACAGTGCCGCCTCAAATTCTCTGCCGACCAAGACTTCAGCATACATTAGCGAGGCACCATCCCCAGTCTCCAGACTCCAAGATCCACACAACTGCTCAAAGCCTCTCTCGAGGCAGTCGAAGAGTCCCATCTCGTAGTGTTTTTTTCAGGCATTTATAGCGGCCACCACAACCCCCTATTGCTTAAGCGCGCGCAGGGGAGAAAAGAACAGCGCCGGCTGGGGTGGGGAGGTGCCTAAGTGTGCACGCATGCGTAGTAAGACGCACGCAGGCGCAGTACGGTTCCCCGGGCGACGGCGGTGGCGGCGGCTCTTCGGAGTGCTCGGCTCCCTCCCATCTAGGCCGGCCCCGGCCCGTCTCGCCCCCAGGAACTCACTATTTGGGGCCGCGGACTTTCTGGAAGAGCCCCACAAAAGTAAACCTTGGGGACCTGGGGGAGCCGGAAGTACCGCCTCGCGATCCCCAAATACTATCGGGGAAACGGAAGTGGCCGTCGGTGGCAGGTTGGGGGAGACCGGAAGTGACGGTACCGTGGGGGAAGTTGGGGGCGGAGCTGGGTGGTAGGGTGTGTGTATGTGTGTGTTTGGAGTGTGTGTATGTGTTTGGAGTGTGTTGGTTGTGCCGATCTGCTAGAGCACCGAGGGTACGTGGAAGAGCGAGACAGTTCGCCGATCTGGCCCCCCGTGAGTGTTCGTCATTTCGGGTCTCTAGTGACTTAAGCGGGTTCGATGGGCGTGGCGTGGCGCGCGTGCGCGAAACCACTTTCTCCGCAGAGTCTGGCGCGACCCTCGCTCTCTGGTTGTCCCCGGGGTTTGCCGACTTCTCGAGCCCTTGTCCTTCCGCGACCGGTGATGATACCGGTCTCGTGTTTCCTTCCTTCCCGTCTTCCTAGCGCTACTGGCCCTCCCTTACTGTGATTGGCGTCGTTGAGCCCCTCCCACCTGCCGCCCTCCGGCTCCCTGTGCCGTCGATCTCTTAGCCTTTGTGTTTCTCTCCCTGTGCCCCGGAATCAGAAGGGGGATGGGGGCGGGTGTGAGTGTGTGTGCTTGTGTGGGAGAAACTCTTTAGGTATGGGGCGGAGTCTCGGGCAGGGGAGGCTTCCGGGTATATAAAAATCTGCTCTAGGCGACAGCGGGCCTCCTCCTAACATTCTTCCTTAGAGAGCTGTCGGCCATGGAGCCCAGTGATAGTACCAGTACCACTATGGAGGAACCTGACAGCCTGGAGGTGCTGGTGAAGACCCTGGACTCTCAGACCCGGACCTTTATTGTGGGGGCCCAGGTGAGACCTCTCAGTACTTCTGAGAGACACCCATTAACTCGTCCTCTTACAGGTTCTTTATCCTGAGAGAAGAGCCTGATATTATGGTTTTCAAATTTTCTCTCATTGATTTTTTTGTTCATGTTGTAGCCAGAACATTTTCTGATGTTCCCTCTTTGGCTTTTGTTGGGTGAGGTCGATTTTCTTTGCCTTCCTCCGCCTCGATAAAACTCAATGCAGAGGGAAAGAAGGAAGGAGGAATCTATATGCCAACCTGATAGATGAGCCCCAGCCCAAAGGGACAGATGTGGCTCCTGCCTTTGGGAAGGCAAACAGAACACTAGGACCTAAAGTAGAAGAGTGTCTTAAAAACTGATGAGGTCTATGCTGTGTTTTTAAAGGATAGAAGTTAGATCTCATAAGTTCATAATGTAGGTAGATCCCTAATAGACAAAGTGGTAAGAAGGTTGAGCCATAGTTTTAAACACATTGTTACCTGTATTTTAAGAGACTGTGTAGGCTTTTGTGATTAGGAACAGCTGGGTACTTCTCACAAGTCTAGTTAGGAAAAATATTTTTCTGATTTTGCCCCTTCTTGCTTGAGTCTGCCTTCCTTAACCTGATTCTCCACCACATCTTCTTTGTCATTGCTTTTATCTTTGAGATTACAGTGTTGTGTCATTTTGTGTTTGGGAAGGGGTCACCGGTATCTCTAGGCACACACATTCCTTTTGGAGCCAGGCAGAGAAGGAGAGAAGAGAATGTCAGTTGGTGTTTCTGCTCTTCAGCCCTGTAGTTTTTTCCTGGGCCAATAACCTGAAGTTCCTTACATTTATTGTATGTATTTTGACAAGTATTGCCTTAGTTTAGGGCTTTGCTCAATGATTACCTCACAATTAAGACAGATGGGTAGTGATTTTAGGATGGGAAGGTTTTTACCCCTTACAAGTCAGTTGTCCCTCTTCTGTCCTTCCTTTTTCTTCCATTCCCTGATTCCTTGTCAAGTTTCTTCTTCCCTACAGATGAACGTAAAGGAGTTTAAGGAGCATATTGCTGCTTCTGTTAGCATCCCGTCTGAGAAACAACGGCTTATCTACCAGGGACGAGTTCTGCAGGATGATAAGAAGCTCCAAGAATACAGTAAGGGGGTGGGGGAGGCAGAGCGGAGCTTGAGGTTGCTGTCTAGAGCAGTGAGCTGAGGCCATGGGTTTACCCGATCATGTAATGTTTTGGTGTGTGTCTTTTTTCTGCAGATGTTGGGGGAAAGGTTATTCACCTTGTGGAACGGGCTCCTCCTCAGACTCAGCTCCCTTCTGGAGCATCTTCTGGAACAGGGTCCACCTCAGCCACCCATGGTGGGGGACCCCCGCCTGGTACTCGGGGGCCTGGGGCCTCTGTCCATGACCGGAATGCCAACAGCTATGTCATGGTTGGAACCTTCAATCTTCCCGTAAGCTTGTGTTCCTCATGGGAGGGTTTTTGTGGGGGAAGTTTTGGTTGTAGTAGCAGCCAAGAGTTCATAAGAGAGGTGTCTCAGTCTTTAGATGGGCTTTGGTGGGCCCTCTGGTCTGGTAACGGCCTCTGTCTTTGAGGAGCTAGAGGGGTCGGGCTCCAGGGAATCAGTGGAAGTGTGGGGGCCTTAGTGTTTGGCTTCTCCCAGAGCAACTTCCCTTACCCTTTCCCCAGAGTGACGGCTCTGCTGTGGATGTTCACATCAACATGGAACAGGCCCCGATTCAGGTATCATGGGGCCTGGGAGGGTCAAGGAAGGGGATCTGGGAGAAGGAGGCCACGAAGTGGGGGGTGGGTCTGGCTGAGGAGATGGGGCTGGGTCCTGGTTTAGTAGGTAATGGAGCGCTTGGCTTTATCTCCAACCTGCCCTGATTTCCCCTCTCTCATTGTAGAGTGAGCCCCGAGTGCGGCTGGTGATGGCTCAGCATATGATCAGGGATATACAGACCTTACTCTCCCGAATGGAGGTGAGTGGGCAAGGCTGGCCATTGTCTGCCTGTTTCACTCCATCCTCCCTACCCCTTTTGTCTCAGCCTGGGGATGAGGGTATGACTGCTCACATCCACTGGGTTCTCCCCTCTTAATCTAATCTCTTCTCTGCAGTGTTTGCTCTTTCGGGCAGAAAATGTATCTTTCTTTTGAGGCTGTCCTGTCCCTGCTGATTCTCTTTGCAATTAAAGAAGGATTCCTTGCCTTCCTGTTCCTTGGTTATCATATTTGATGCTGGGATGGCCTAGCTTCATTAGTTCGTGTTTGCAGTCAGTGTCCTTTCCTCTTTTCTCTTGGAGGTTTGGAAACCGCAGTCCCTAGTTTTTGTTAATAGTTTATTTGTATCATAGGTGTTGGTCATACATCTAGTTTGTGTAAGGTTTAGGGAGTCAAAGATTCAGATGCAGAGCCCTGTCTTCAGGGAGCCTAGTTAGTGCCCCTTCTCCACTCAATCTGCTCTGACCTGAGTAATCTGCAATCTCATGTTGCCTTTGTTGTACTGACTCTTTCCCTGCTTCAGTGCCGAGGCGGGACCCAAGCCCAGCACAGCCAGCCGCCTCTCCAGACGCCGACGGTGGCCCCAGAGCCAGTGGCCTTGACCTCCCAAACATCAGAACCGGTTGAAAGTGAAGTGCCTCCTCGGGAGCCCATGGAGGCGGAAGAAGTGGAGGAGCGTTCCTCTACCCAGAGCCCGGAGCTCACCCCTTCAGGCCCAGCCCCAGCAGGCCCAGCATCTGCCCCAGAGACAAATGCACCCAAGTGAGAGGGGGAGGGCACCTTTTGGGGGTGGGGGTGGGTTGGGGATTCTAAGTGAAGTGTAAGGACCAGGAAAAGGTCTGATGAGAGAAAAAGGATTGTTCAGAGGTGGTGTTTGTGATTAGTGTTGAGGGGCAGGGAGGGGATCTGGAGTAGGTAAATGAGATTGAGGCTGGCCGCTGAGCCAGAGGCACTGCCCTCCTTCGGGTCAGGAAATCCATGTGGTGCTCCTGGAGGTGGCTAGATTCTCTCCCCTGAGGACCCAGAGGCCCCATCGGGTTTTTAAGAGTTAGTGATTTGCCATTGTAGGTACAGGATTGTGTGGTGGGAAGGGTGAAAGCAGTTTGTCTCTCCCTGTCCATCTTTCCCCCCTGCGTGAGGTTAAAGAACAGAAGCTCTGCTAGTTCCAAGAGGAGTGGGGGGATTGGGCTGGGGCTCTGGGAGGCCAGGGAGAGGTGGGGTACGGGTAGCAAGGGCAGGAGTCTGAGGGAAGCCTTGGCTCACGGCCACTTTGGGTTGCCCACAGCCACCCTTCGCCTGCGGAGTATGTCGAGGTGCTTCAGGAGCTGCAGCGGCTTGAGAGCCGCCTCCAGCCCTTCCTGCAGCGCTACTATGAGGTTTTGGGCGCTGCTGCCACCACGGACTACAACAACAATGTGAGCCCACCCACCCCCTCGCCTCCAGCATCCCCAGATGGAGTGGGGTGAAATGTAGATCACTTCCCTCTGCCCCGCACCCCAAAAGATGTCATCTTCTACAGAGTAGTTTCTCTTTAGATTAGGAAGGGAGTGATTTTTTTCCTCCCTGACATCTTTATGGTGTTCACTGTCTTCGCACTTGCATGATCACCTAAATGAGTTACTTAGGAAGTTTATAAAGTAAGGGAGATTAGCAGGTGATAACTTACTGATTCATTGTAGAATTTATTATCAAAGGAAGCTATTTGTGTGTATAAAATAGAGCTTACTTGCAAAGATTTGGTGTCTACAGAAGCTTCAGAGGATGTACCTAAAGATATAGCA